GGTAATGGAGGACTCAGGGCCTGAGGCCTGGGGAAGGGAGAGGGGGTAAGTCGAGGCAGGCTCCAGCACTGTTCCTCTTGACTCTGGCCTCCAGCTGCACACAGGAGCTGGGAGGGCCCTGCTGTCCTCCGGGAACATTGTATAGCCTAATAATGACACTGACGGCTATAACGGGAATGTACCAAGTGCCTGCTGTGTGCCGGGCACCACTCCTAGCACAGCACAAAGCCTCCAGTTAACCCTCGAACAGCCTTGCCAGAGGGTCTGCTACCATTTTCCCTTTTCCAGATGAGACAACTGAGGCCCAGAGAGTTTAAACAACACGTCAAAGGTCACACAGCGGGTAGGTACTACAGCTGGGATGCACACCAGGCTGTGTGATGCCACAGCCAGTTCTTAACAACTACTCATACTGCCTTAGGTGGCAGAAAGGACATTGTGGGGGTGGGGGGCTCAACATGACATCCTGCCTGAGACAAGAGCCCAGTCCCTGTCCCCCACCTTCTGTCCTTCTGTGTCTGGACTGGCCCAGGACAGGCTCTCCCCATCCTTCCAGCTGCATAAGCAGGCATCAGGCCTGGGGCATGGGGAGTTGGAGGGGTGGGACACATTTACTCCACATGTAGCAATGAGGAGACAAGCAGGCAAAGGGGGTCACCAGACACTTTGGGGTAGCAGGGCAGGAGGATAAGGCAGGACTTTGACATCAGAGTGGCCTGCGCTACTTCTGAGCCTCAGCTTCCACATCTGTAACATGGGAACAGTAAGAACCTGCCAGCAGGTTCAGCTGAGGTGATGTGTATCAGATGCTTCCCTCAGGCCTGGCTCCTCGGCCAGGGGATCACCCTGAGCAAAACCAGAGCTGGGCCCCGCCAGCCCCACCCCACCACTCGTGTCAGAATCTTGCCCCGCAACTGCCTAGCTGTGTGACCTTGGGCAGGTCACTATCCCCCTCTGGCCGCAACTTCCTCAATAATAGAAAGGACATAACAGAAAAATGATCACCTACCCACGCTTGGCATACAATATCTTAGCCACTAATTATTTTTATTATCCCAGAGCACCTTGCAGCCCTGGGCACCCCTCCTTCCTGGAAGGCAGGCTGGGTGGCCAGCTGGACAGAGTCAGGGGAGTGGTTCCCAAGAGTGTGGGAGAACAGGCGAAGCCCAGGCACTAGGCTCCAATGTGGAAGCCACCCCCAGGTACCAATCCTGTAGGAGGCAGTGGAGAGCCGCCCCACTGCCCTCCTTTCCCAGAAGGCTTGCTGCTGAGGGGGGCAGACATCGGCGCACAGCCACACACGCACAGTCTCGTACATCCGGGAGCATGCACGACCACTGCGCGGGACAGCCAGAGCCTGGCGCTAGAGCCCACCCATTCCTGGCGCCCTGCAGCCACCCCCTGACCCCAGGGCATAGGATACAGGTGGGGTCAATCCCAGCTCTGCCTCTTCTTCGACTTCCCACTATGGGCCTGTTCCCCATGTGGAAACAAGGCTGACACTATCCCCTCCTGTAGGAGGAACAAGTGATGTCACATGTGTGGAGAGCCTGAGCCAGGAGCCCCTCCTTCTCCTCCTCTGCTCTCCTCCCGGCCCTACCTCTGCCTCCCTGCACCCCGTGAAAGCAGCCTCCCTATTTCCCCACAGCTCCGAGATTTCACCCTCTGTGCCCACCTCAATGCTGGCGGCCAAGAGCCCCAGGCACCAGAGCAGGGAAAGCGCCCTCCAGCCTCACACCCAGCGATGCGCCTGGCAGCCCTCAGGAACTGACAGCCAGAGGGAGGCAGCAGGAAAGAAGCCAGAGCCGCCTCCCAACCACAACCACAGGGACTGGAGCACAGAGACCCAAATCCCGCTGGCTTCAGCCTGAGCTGGCTCTGCCGCCCACCGCCCCCCCACCCCCACCCCCATGACGGCAACCAGCCACCAACCCTGGCGATAAGAATAGCTCCATTGACAGGGCCCTCCCCACATGCCAGGCCATGGTGAAAGGCTTCTCGTGCATCATCTCATCTAATCTTAACATCCTTACGAGGAAGCAACTGTTGTGCCCATTTTACAGATGAGGAAACGGAAGCATAGAGAGATTAGGAAACTTACTTGAAGTCACACAGCTCACAAGTGGTGAAGCCAGATGGTCTGGCTCAGAATTTGACCTCTTTATACTTTTCCGCTAAGTCCCCCCAGCCCCAGCACCTCAGAAATGCCCAGGACCAGAGGTCTGGTGGGGACAGAGGAGAGGGCAATGGGATCTCCCTTCTCTGCTGGGCTGAGGTGAAAATCAAAGTCACAAAGCAGTGTTTGAGGCCTATACCCTCTGACCTTTAAAGCTGAAAAGTGAGTCTCCAAGAAGAAGATGTCCCCAAGAATAGGATGTCCCTTAGGGCTCAGGCCTGACACCCAGCCCCATCATTCTCCTGTGTGAGAAATGGGGCGGTCCCACCTTGGGTCAGTGTCTCTGGCGCACACGGAAAGTCAGGCCACAGAACTCTGGCAAGCGATGATGGGGGCAAGCCCACCAATTCAGGCGAGACCCTCTCTCCAGGCCTCCTGGGCCATGCTGCGTGGGCCCAGGCCCCTTCTGGAGTGTCCCTCAAACTCCTGGTTCTCTCAGACAGGTGTCCGCCCCTGGGTGCCCACATGGGGCTTCACCTGAGGCAGGGCATCCGCCGAGGCTGAGAGCCTGGACTGCAGGGGGAGCCGGGAGCCCGCGTCCCGGCGCGACCTGCAGCTCCTCCTGCCCTCTGACAGATGCTACTGTTGTAACCACGGCTCTCAGACTTCCATAATGCCTCCCCGCAGGCTCCCCATGACACTCTGACCCACACGGGCTCTGATCCACCACAGTCTCTTCTATTCCAGAGATTCCACGGGGCCATCCCATGAGTCATAAATAATCGCATGCACATCAGATGCTGGATCCAGGTGTGCTTCAGCTTCAGCCTTGTGGACTTGAACCTGCCCCTTCCCAGCTCTGCCCCGGAACAGCATCCCTGCTGCTGATTCCTGCATCTCAGGGCCCCCCACCAGAGTCGCTTGCCCACCCTCCTGCCTGTTTCCAGGCCCTCTTGAAGTGAAGCAGCCACCCCACGCTGCCACAGCTCCGCAGGGTCTGGGACAAGCGCCGGGAGCTTGCACTTGCTGAAACAAATGGGGCGGGGGCCTGCTTGGGTGCCCAAGGGGTGGCGGGCTGGGGAGGGCAGCTGAGGGCAGTCACTGTGGGGTAGCTTCTAGGAGGGAACAAACTCCCAGCAGAGGGGCTCTCAGCATGCAGGCATGGAGGAGAGTGAAGTGGGTCACGTACAGGAAGGGTGGGTGTGCCCCAAGCCACCCAGCAGCCCCATCCCTGTGGACTATGGCCTGGTCCAGACAGCACATCCCCACTGACTTAGTGCAGCCTCCTGCTCCCATCCCCCATGCCATGGCTTCTCTGGGGACAGACTCTAGTAGTGACCAAGGGTGTAGCCTCCAACCATGCCCCTCCCCTTGGGAGGCTCCAAACTGAGAGGTAATGTGCAGGGTAGTGGGCAGTGATGGGTAGACTGTGGGGCCTGGAGAGGGAACCTGGGCCGAATCCTACTTCAGCCACCAGGGTCCATCCTCACCCTCTCAGCCTCAGCATCCCACCTCTAGGAAGGGAACAAACTGCTCCCTCTCACGGGTTATGTTGTTAAGATTAATGAGCTAATTAAAGTGTGAGAAAAGTTTCTTGTAGACTTAAAAGAGACGATCAACCATGGCAAATTAATAAGAATAAACAACCCTCCTCCAGGAAGTCTGCCTGGATTGGATCCACTGGAGGCAGTTGCTCCTTGATAGAATGGCAGGGAGGCTGCGCTGGCCTTTGCAGGGGTGTCTGAGCTGCTGAGGGCTGCTCTTCTCTGTTCCCCAGAGTCCTGCAGACTCTTCCCAATAACCAGTCCCACCCCAGGCTCTGTGCCTGCGGAACTCAGTCCACAAGGCAAAGTAACTGATGTGTGTTTTAACATTTATTGAGCACCAACTGTGTGCCAGGCTCTGTACTTGGCCTTCTCCACACACTACAACATCCAGAAGGATGCACTGTGAGGAGCCCCCTGTTACACATGAAGAAACACAGGGGAGTGGATAACACAGACAGGAGAGAAGCAAAACTCCAACTCGTCATCTCAGTCAGCCCTGCTGTGTGCTGTGTGGCAGGGTTAGGCCAGACAGGGGTGGAGGACCGGACGAGGGTGCAAGACCAGTAGCCCCATCCTCAAGCGCCCCCTGCATCCCACCTGCTGCTGCTAACAGTGTCACCTCCCCCTCCACACCCCTCCACTCCCTCCTGTGCATGGAGGCGAGGCTGACTCAGCAGACACACTTGGGCCCCCGACGCCAAATTAAAGCCAGAAGCCCTCCTTGGAACTTAAGTCCGAGAAGACACAGGAAGCCGGGGGAGGGAAAAGTGTCTGCTCCCAAACCTGCTGGGGCCTGGCCTTGCAGCCCCTCATTGAACTGTGTTTTCCAGCACGGGAATCACGTCCCGAGAACACTGACTCATCGCAGAGCACAGCCAGGCCCCTGAGGCCCAGACCAACCACCTAGAGCACTGCAGCCTCAGCTGATGCCCTGGCCTGCCCCCAACAGCCCACAGCTCTGCCCCCTGCTTAACGAGGGGCCTCCAGGACCCCTGAGCCTCACTCCTGGCTGGTGCCTGGGCCAGGTACCCCCAGGACCCCAAAACCTGCTCACCAGGAGCCCCCCGGCACCCATAACCCTGATCCTGTCAGACCAAGAAGCTGCCCTCCTCTCTTCCTCCTGCAAGCTGATTCCCAAGCCCTCCCACCCCCTTTTTCACCCTGGGACTCAACAGCACCCCCAGGAGCATGGCCAGAGGAGGGCAAACGTGGGCTCCAGAAGATGGGAGAGGAGAAAGGGGTGGGGCAGAGAGAGGGCTGAGCAGAGGAAGACGACGCCCCTGCAACCTGCCCTGCACACACACCCGCGGTCACCAACCCAGACAGTGCCTGCTTACCTCCCAGGGGTGCCAGTGGGCTCAGGGGCTCTTCAGAGGGACACCTGCAGAGAGATAGCAGGGAAGAGGTGAGATAACAGTTGAACGAGGCCCACAGACTCCTCACCCACGGGACCCGTCCTGCAGCCAACCCCACCCAAGCCTATGCCCGCAGCCCTGGGGCAGGCAGAGCAGGAGGAGACCTGGCCCCTGCCCTCTGGGAGCCCAGGGACACCAGATGCACCCACAGTCAAGAATGCACTTTCCGTAAAGCAAGCCCCGGGGCTGCAGCTGCCTGGTTGGCCACAGGAGGGACACAGTCATCCAGGAGGCGCCCTGCGACAGGCCCATAGCTCCGCGTGGGCCCTGAGGGGCGTGCACCCCAGACAGAGCAGCTGCCCCCATTCACCCACACCTGCCCATGGCAGGAGGAGCGGGAGTTCTCTGGCCCCTGGACGCACAGCACTGTTCCTCAAATCCTTCCTCCTGGGGTCAGATGTGGTGGCCAGAAAAGAGCATCCAGTTCCTCTCCTTCACCACCGACTAGGACCTTGACCTGGATCATCTCAGCTTTGTCACTGGTTCACTCTGTGACCCCAGGCCAGCCCTTTCCCCTCACTGTGCCTTGATTTCCCCATCAGTACCAGCAGGTGCATCAAGAGTCACCTGGAAGGCTTGTGCAAACACAGCTTGCTGGGCTCCATTCCCAGGGTTTCTGAGTCAGCAGGTCCAGGGTGGGGCCTGAGAATCTGTATTTCTAACAAGTTCCCAGGTGGTGCCTCACACTTTGAGAACTGCTGGTCTAGATGTGTCTGGCCAGCAAAGTGCATGGCCCACACCCTCAAGGAGTTCACAGGCTAATTGGGAAGACACACACACACACACGCATGCACGTGCATGCACACACATCTGACTCAAAGCCGCCACAGCAGGAAATTTCTAACCACCAAGGAAATCTGATAGGAGCGGGCTGTGCAGTCAGAAAAGGCTTCCTGGAGGAGGTGAAGACCTACATTACCATTTTCACACATTGCAGTTTTATTCTTACACAGGTAATTCATGCCAGCTCCCTCCAGTTAGGAGCTCTGATGGCAGAGGTCTGGAGAGCAAACGCTCACTCCAGATCATGTCTCCAGAGTCCTGACTGCCCTTCAGGGTGAGACTCTCACTGGGCTTCTGCACACCCATGCATAAAGGTGCACATGTGTGTGCACACAGACACATGGGGTTAGACACCAGGGGCAGAGCTTCTGTGCAGGTGTGTGACTGTGGTGCCCACTTAACAGTCGCCTGGGGACCTCTCCCTGTCCATACACAAAGATAGCAGTAATCGCTGCCGTCCTCACTGAGCGCCTACTGCGTGCCAGGGTCGAGCGGTGTGTGCATTAACCCTCTAATGTTCACAATGGCCCTAAGCTGGGTGCTGCTGTCATCCTAGTTTTGCAGATGAGAAAACGGAAGTGCAGCGCAGTCATTAGCATCCTGCCCAAGGACACCCAGCCAGGAGCGGCTGAGCCATGAGGTGCCAGCGTCTGTGCTCTTGACAGGGTGCTGCACCGAGGAGCTGCATGGGGACTTACCCTCACCTGTTTAACCAGACCCCCGAGATGAGTGCTCAGGGGGTTCCAATTTTTTATTTCAGGTATTGCTGGAAAACAGTATCCTGCCTCTTTGTGCACATGTGCAAGTATGTCCAAAGGGTAGGTCAAAGGGTAAACATATCTTAAATTTTGATACTCACTGCCAGATTGTCCTCCAAAAAATGTCTGTACCAATGCCCAGCTGCCCATTTCCCCCTGTGAACACCTACTTAAGAACAATTCCCATTTACTGTGTGCAGTAAGCGCCAGATTCAGCAACATCTGGGTTGTCATCTCCATTTTGCAGATGTGGAACTGAGTCTCAGAGAGGTTAAGCTGCTTGACCAAGGTCACGCAGCTAGGAAAGAGCATATCAGTTTGCCTCAGTATCATGAAGGAAGGGAGGGAGGGATATTTCTTGACCCCACATGCCCTTCCATTTTTCTGCTCTCTTTTATAGCAAAACTCAAGAGCTGTCTCTCCTCAGCATCTCAGTCTCCACTCTCTCACCTCCCATTCTCCCTCTCTCCTCTCTAGTTGGGCTTCCATCCCTACCACCCTGAAAAACCGCTCTGATCAAGGTTCCCAGAAACCTCAGTTTTGCCAAACCCAGTGGTCATTCTCTGACACGACTGGCTGCTTCCTCCGTCAGGAAACACTTTATCTCTGGGCTCCCAGGATTCAGCCTCTCCTGGTTGTCCTCCCACGCCTTCCTCCCCTCGTGCCTCACCTCCCTCCAAACATCCAGAGGCTCACTTCTCTCTGCTGTCTGCACAGTCCTTGGCTGGTCTCGCCAGGTTGGTCGTGTGGCTTTAAATCGCAGCCATGCCCCCCGAGCTCTCTCTCCAGCCCCAGCTCTCTCTTGAGCACCAGCTGTGCGTATCCACAGGCCTATTTGTCATCTCCACTTGCTCATCTAACAGACCTGTCCAAAACAGAACTCTTAATTTTTATGACCAAAATTACATCTCCCTCAGCCCTGACTCCTATTCTCCTCACCCCACACCCAAGCCACCAGCAAATTCTGTCAGCTCTACCCGACACACACCCAGAACCTGCTGCTGCCCTGGCATCTTCTGCCCTCGCCAGCTCCCTGCTCCCACCCTGGCCTCAAACTATCACAGCAGCCACATAATGGTACAAATCAGATGCTGTCAGTACCCTGCCATAAGCAACCACGGCAAGGAGAATCAAGTCCAGACTCCTCAAAGCCTGCCTGCTGCTCAGCGCTCACCTTCCACCACAATCCGCCCTCTCCCTGCTGGCCGGACTCAGGGCCTCTGTCCATGGTCCTCATCAGCCTGACCGCTTTCCCCAGACTCTCCTATTCTTCTGTTCCAATGGGACCTCCTTTACCTTCCCTGGGCACCCGAGGTCAAATGCCCCACACACCCCAGTCACTCCCATTTGTCAGAGTCTTTATCCCCACCTGACATCATCCTGCTTGTCTGTTTGTGTCCTTGTTTCTCATGTGTCTCCTCATCATAACATAAACTCTGTGAGGCAGGGAGGAACGGGTCCATCTTGTCCGGCTCTGCATCTGCCTCTATACTATGCGCCATGCTCGGTACGTGATGGATGCTCAGTAAATATTTGTGGCAGGAAGGAAGGAAGGAATAGGCAGAGCCAGCTCTATCTGGCTCCAAAGGCTGTGCTCCTATTCCCTACACAAACTACCCCCATCTGAAGAAGAGGGAAGGAGGTGGAGGGCACACCCAGCAGGGCAGGAGCCTCTGGGCAAAGGCAGGGAGGTGAGGACAGGTTGAGATAGGCGGCTGGAGGGACAGATGCACACTGGAGAGCAGTGGGGCCTGGGGCCTCCCTGGAATGCCAGGCCCAGCAGCCCTGCCCCCCGGGGGGGGGCGCGGTCTAGGGCTCTCACACCTGCCAACCTGTCCCATGCAGGAGGGAGCCTCGGCGGGCAGCCGGCAACTGAGCACAACTGGCAGGGGGCCAGGATGCCTGCCAACAACTGGCGCAGCTGCCAGGCAGCCAAGTAATCGCGTTAGCCAGCGGAAATTGGTCCAGGGAGTTTTCTCCCTTCGCCTCTTGTTTCTTTCTCTTCCCCTCCCCCCTCAGAGCTACAAGACTCGGAAGATTGATCTTTGCCTGAAACAGAGGAGATAACTCGATATAATGAACTCCACTGTCCCTCTTGCTGCTTGGAGCTTTTAAAAAATTTAAAAGAGCTGGGGACAAAAAAGCTTGTCCTCAGGGCTCTCTGGGGCTACCCCCATTGGAAGCCCATGGCCCTGCTCACGCCCCTCTCCCAGCTCTCCATCTGCCTCCTTCCCCCTCTTTTTCCCTTGGGATGCCTTGATGGAACAAAGGTTAAAAATATCCCCTTTCTCTTGCAGGTTTTAAAAATAATTTCATTGAAGTCAGGGCTGCATCTACCAGTTGCCCTGCCTCCCACAGCCCCTGCCCCCAGGGCCGCCCCCGCTCCCCAGAGTCACCAGCCAGCCCGGGGGTGACAAGCTGGCTTGGTCCACCTGTTCTCAAAGCATTTCCGAAGAGAGCTGGCAGGACCAGGCCCGCCCATGGAGGCGCTGCCAGAGATGGCTTTTGTTCCTGCAAACCCCTCTTTAAAGAGCCGCCTGACGACACAAAAAGGGGCACAGCTCCGACCAGGACCCAGGCTCTGCTGCCACCTCACGGAGGTCTGTTCCTCCTCGCGTTAGCACCCACCTCAGCCTGCAGCCCCTCCAGCCTGGTGTTCATGGGCTGTGTGCCCTGCATGCATTCATGTAGTCAATCAACATTTATTGAGCATCTACTCAGTGCTAGACACTGGGCTGGGAGCCAGGGACCCAGGGGGCAATCAAACCCTTCTGATTCCTGCCCTCAGTGGCCTTGAAGCCTGGTGGACAATCAGTGGTCACACTGGGGTGGGGGGAGGGGGGCGTTGCACTGGGATGAGGGCTTTAAAGGAAAGATCGGGTGCCCTGAGAGTATGGACAGGAATCAGGGAGGGCTTCCCTGAGGAAGTGTCCTTGGAGCAGAGATCTGCAGGACAAGTAGGGGACCACCAGGCAGGGGGCATGGGTGGAAGGCTCCAGGCATTATTGGGAGCATCTGCTCTCACGAACATGCCACTCAATCTGGGGCCTCTCCCCTGGTGCTCACTGCCTGTAAAATCCCATGATTCCTTACCTAGCATTCAAGGCCCTTCCTAAGCTGACCTCTGTCCCCAAGACCTCCTCATCTCCAGCCTCCCTCTTCAAGATGCAGCTCAAATCTTGCCTCCTTGGCCCCAGGGCAGGAGTTGCAGCTCCCTGTGGGCTCCCACAGCAGCATAGACTACACGGGCCTGTGCTATCCAGCAGCACAGGCCATGTCGATCAGTCTGTGTAGCTGGAGCCCCACACAGAGATAGAAGTGTGTTCCAAGGAGAAAGAAGCATCCGGGGACACCATCAGAACACTTAGACTCAGATCAGTGAGGGCTGAAGACATCAGGGAGAGCTTCCTGAAGAAGCAGGCTGG